TTCCATTCACAGTTACTGCTGATTCCCCTTCTGTACGACGGTTGTATACTTGCACTCCCCTTGCTGAAAGAGGTTTCCTTGCCATGATGCTGTAGTTGGCTTTCTTCACAACACCAGCTACTTCAGCTTTCTGGAGGACATGTGACAGCAGTCACCCATGCTCGCAGCTTGTCAGACGGAACTTGGTGTGCCAGCAGATGCTAATGGAGATAGGCTGGGGTTTTTTGTTCCTGTTTCATTGCTTAGCTGGAAACATATAGGCATGGCTTCCTGAATGCCAGTGTAACGGGTAAGTATTAGTGCCCTGCTCATACCAGTTTCTATGCAAAAAAAGTCCTCGAGGGTTTTCAAATAATCTGGGACAAGCTGGGGATGAGCCAGCTGATGCTGGTGTTGTTTACCAGTGTAGAGCCAGGGTATTTCTGTCTGTGACATGGACAGGCTTGGGCAAGAGATTGTTGTATGAGTTAGTCAGGAAGCCATCCTTCTACAGCAAGGAAATCCTGTATTGGGCTATATGTGGTTTATAGCAGCAAGGACTGCTTGCAGGCTCTCTGATTAAAAAGTGCTACACCCTGCTGATAGCTAGTGTGCAAATAGACTGGTAGAGGTGGCAAGAACATCCCACTTATTACATAGAAAACATTTAAAGAGAGAATGTGCAGTAACACGCCTACCTCCAAACTCCTCCATGTCCACGCATGTGCTCTGAAGGTCCGGCTCTCCTCAGTCCTGGGTTGCTGAGTCTCCTCAGCTGTTTGTGGTAGCAGGACACCCTCTCCAGTTTTCCCATCCCCGAATGGGGACTTGGTCGCCCTGCTGCTGTGACTGGCAGAGATTCATTAGCCCACAATACATAGTGGATTCATTTCTGCCCGATCATGTTGCTTTGTGTTGTAACGAACAGTATCCTGTAAAACCTGGAAGTCAGAGGAATGGCAAGTGAAGGGTGTTTATCCCGATCACAGCATCTCCCTCGCAGGACCACCCAGTGGGCTGGGTAGGAGATGTGCTAGCAGCTTTGTTTCAGAGGAAATATTGAGAAGAGTAATGATTGGGGCATGAAGCCAAGGGACCAATCTTTCAGACTTGTATTTTTTTGCAATCAATTACTGTACTTTTCTGCTATAGTCTGTTTAATAGTACATTATATTAAGTTGGAAGTATGACCCACTCACTGGGGAAGAGCAGCTGTACGTCACTGGTGCAGGAAGGGATCCCCATGTATTTCCTCCTGCACTTGCAATAGACCACGTGCAGCTTTGGTTCACTGGGGCAGATGCCCACCTGGGATAGCTGGTAGGAAGCCCGAGGCTTGTGTCTCAGGCACATTGTGAAAACACCACACAAATGTCATCACCTGTCTGTGCCTTCTGTCTTTCTGCCACTTTCTTCTACCTACTCAGATGGTGAGCTCGCTGGTGCAGATTGCTCTTCCTGCGTCTCAGACAGTGTCTGGCAATGCTGTAGCATGGATCAGTTACACAGATGTATGAAATACTGCTAACTATGAAGAAACTTTAATGGATACTATATACCAAACACTTCCTTTTGCCTCTGCAAATCTCCAGAGTGATCATGCAGATCGCATATACTGGGATATCTATTTTTAGGTCGAACTTGTATGTGAATAAGTATAACATTATTCCTTATTTAGTCAACAGGATATCCTGGATATGGGACATTCTGAAGCAAGTGTTTAGATAACATCTATTTAAACAATGGGTGATTTAAACAATGGTAGTAAAAATTGATGTTGTGAATTCTCTCTGGTCCTGGTTTTGAGGTCATGGTTATTAGTGTACACCTACTATTTTTCTGGAGTATGCAATTGCTATTAAAAACCTCATAAACTTTTTTTTTTTTTTACTTTTATACAACAAGACCACTGCCTAAGCAAAATAATGAGGAGCATCAGCATTATAACTATCAGCAGAGTTTATACATATTTTACTTAATCAAATGACACACATAAAGAGGAAAACAAATCCAATAGCCACCACAGAAGTAAATGTATTGCATGTGGTCCAGCTCCTGGGAAGTGGTGGAAGATCATGCAGGAGAGGTGAGTTGCACCACTGAGACTTGTTCTCAAGTTCAACATATTGTTGCTACCAGAAGCAACAATAGGAGCAAAGCACTGCAGACAAGATAACATGGTTTGTTTCTTCTGCGATGAGCTGTAAAATGCAAACTGGGGATAAGCTGTGACAATGCAGAAAAATTGTATCCACTGCAAAGTAAACACAGGTCCTGCCGCATCATTTCAGCAGGACTGAAAGGGTGGGCAATGAGGAAAACTGCTTGCTGCTATTTGGTAACTGAAAGCAGTTTTGTGTTTATGACTGCGTCAGTTCTGAACAGCAGCCGTCAAATGCCTTTAGCTTGTGTGAGCAGGTAGATGGACTGGCTTTTAAATTGGCTCTTTTCAAGTAAGGTCCAGATAGTAAAGCTGAGCATCTCTGTGAAGTCTCCCATCTCTGACATATTTAGGATTTTGCTCAGAGACCTGGCCTGTGCGCAGGAAGTCGTGAAGCAGCCAAGGTCCTGGAAAATTGGCTTCTGGCCATCTTTTATCAGCCCCAGGCACTACAGCTCTCGTCTTGCCACCGGCTGAGGAGGTGAGAAAAGACGAGCTGGTAATTTAAACGTGGTAGTAAAAATCAGTGTTGTGGATTCACTCTGGTTATGACTTTGAGGTCATGGTTATTAGTGTACAAGGTGTTATTCTGCAGCTTGAGCGAGCCTGCACCAGAACCATCTGGCGTGGGTACAAGCATGTGTTGAGCTGGTGTTTGCACTGGCGGGTTCTGGTGTGGCTGGTCGCACGCTTTCTGCCAGCTGGCCCCTGGCCTTGTCCCACTGGCAGGGGTGACATCTGCATTTTCTCCGGTCTGTGGGGCCCACGGCTGGCTGGGTGACTGCAGCCAAGCTCCTGTACACAGGTCCCACAGTGATGATCGCCGTGCTGCTGAGCTCTAGGGCACCTTGTGGGCAGCAGCTGCCTGACAGGCATGCAGGTCCGTGCCAGCTCCTGCAGATGTAGCTGTCTGTCTCCTGAGCGTGGACGTGCAGCTAATCAAATCAACCTTGCATGAAAAGAGCGCAGGCTGCCTTGAAAAGTTGGTATGCCTGTAACAAGACCTGAAGGCATGTGAAACATGCTGGGCTTGAGGGTGTAAAAAAGCACAAGCTAGTAAAAATCAAACGTTTGGGCCAATGGGTTCATAGAGTTCAACAGTATTTTTCAATACAACACCTTGAAGGATTGATTCCATACCATCACAACTGTGTTGTTTAAACATTTTGGGTTTGGGGGTTTGCAGAACAAAGTGTTTGAAGTGATGGGTCACAGGCAATAAGCAGCATGATCGAATGTTTTTGCCCTCTTATCTGGCGTTGTGGAGAAATACAGGAAAATATGAAACAAGGAGTGGAGAAGAAAGATGCTTTTTGCTTCTTGGTTGTTTTCAAAGATATGGCTGTTGTGGAATAACATTTACGAGTTTCAAGGTTGTCTCTTTAGCCGTCCCACAGCTGTCAGAAAACATGCTCTTGGTTGTGGGGCATGGAATATTGTGCTGGTTGAGATGTGGTAAGAAACCATAGACAATTTTATATCTATATCTGCTTTATTTTTAATTAAAAACAAACAAACAAAACCCAACCAACACTTCTGATAAGTAACTCCAAGGGTCAGTGTTGGCGTGGTTAGGACATTTCTCTGCAGCTCTCAAGTGTACTCTTGACTCACCCTGGTTTGGTTGCCTGTGAATTAATTCAGGCTGTTTGACCTTGGCTACCTAGTTTGACTTTGAGTGCAGCATCTTGGCTACAAAACATAAGCTTCTTTCTGTGAAGTATGATTTTTATGTACTTGAAGTCATGTTTTGTTTCATGTAAAAACAAATTACATAACCAAACATTTGTACGGCCTTTCTCTTGCACTTGGTTCTCTGACCCGTTCCTTGTTACAGTATTTTCAGCTTGCTGGGTTCAGTCTCTTGTACTCAAGCACTGCTCCTTCACCTCCATGGGGCCACCCACGACACTGTGCACATGCAGCAAATTGCAGTCATGCAGTAATAACTGGGTCATTTGAAATTAAACCCCAAGAGGAGTCTTGCATAGATGCTCCTTAAACTCAATAAACATTTGATAAACAAATAGAAGTTGAGGATTATGATCCTGTCCCCACCAACATCTGAGACAGAGCCAACATACTTTCAGCAAAACACCCATTTAAACATGATCTTAAGTATGTGTGCAGAATGCAGGGGGAATGAATTCCAGAAAGAAAAAAAAAGAGCAATACACAATCCAGCCCCATGGTCAAGAAATACAGTGATGGACAAATGCTATATAAAGAAGTCTTGTCCTGAACAGAAAAAACGTCAAACCACCTTGATGACTGGATCTGTGTGGCACAGTTTTCCTTTTCTCTAAATCTGAAATGCTGCCACATTTTCAGGTAATTGGAATAGTCAAAGACTTGAAGCAGCAGGAGCTTGGTGATTAAACATAAAAAATGAGCATATATCACCATTGTAGGGGACTCTTCAAGCTAAAGCTAGTTTGTAAACAAAGACACATCCAGAAATACAACTTGGCTGCAGCCAGGGTAGTATAACCCGTGGTGGACACATCATATGAGATGGCATGCAGGTCCTAAAGATCTCTTCAGATCTGCAACGCCCTGAAGTAGTAGTTTGGGTGAAGAAGTCTTAGTGACAGACAAGTCCTAGTGATTTCTATGGGGTTTAACGTGGCTGCTCAACTCTCCAGCAGTGCCTGGAGGCTTTGCATGTGCAGGGACATTTTTGTGCCTGTTTTCTCACTTGAATGTTTGGCTCTGCTGTTCGTGGGCTTGGGATGATACCCAAGGTAGCCCCGGGTCTGTATTTCTGGCGGATCTTCAGTTTTTCCATGTGGCTTGTGCTGAGGGTGATGCTGTGGGCAGAAGTGTTGTGACAGTTGCAGTTAACAGCGGCAGGCCTGATATGATATTGGCTCCTGTGGAACAGTTGAGGCCAAAAGTCCCTGTGCAAAAACCAGGTAACCTCTCCCAGCGTTACTTCAGCCCTTCTAGTTTGTCAGCGTCTGAACAATTTGCGCACAAGGGGGAAAAAACCCAGGCTTCCGAATGGTTTGGCTACACGCAGCTGCTGGTGCAGCAGGGGCCCACACCCAGGCCGTGACTTTGCGGTGCCTGTGGCGCCGCGGCCCTCGGGCAGCGACTCCCGCAGCGGCACAGCCCCCGGACACTTGAGGAAAACCGGGCACCGTGGAGCTTGTGATAGAGCAGCGCAGCCCTCGCCGCCGCCACGGGCGCCCCTCGGTGTGGGGTACAGAAACACCCGGTTTTACAGCGAGAAACCCCCGCAGTGTCCTGCGGCGCTGTGCTCGGTGCTCACGCTCCGCTTTCGGGGCCGGCCCGGGCAGCCGCCGCGCGAGGGGCGGAGGGGCTCAGCCCCCGGGGAAGG